TAATCAGGAGGTCTCAGGAACAATGCAGACAGGATGGCTGAGGGAGGCTGCAAAACTAACCAGCTGAGCAGGCTGGAGGTGCTAAGAGAGCACTAATTGGCTATGGGACTGGGCCTGGGGCCAACTCCTACCTCTTGCTGCCACAATAGGCAAGCAGAAGATACCAACTCTATTCTGAGATCCTCCATTCATACTGGCCAATCCAATCATCCACAAATCCATCCATCCACCCATCTATTTTTCTCCCTACCCACACTTCATCCCATCAATTATACATCTATCCATTTATTCACACATTAATTCACTTACCTTACCTACGTACCCACCCATCCATCCACCCCGTATTTCTCAGGAGCCTATGCCAAGGGGCACAAAGATGACTCAGCTCTCAAGGAGCCCACAGCCTTCTGGGTCATCAGACATCAAGATAACACAGAGGAATTAGTGTTTTTATGGAAGGGGAAATACAGCCAGTGGGAGACCTGGGCCAGGCTCATTTTCCAAAGGTGAGGGTAGTATGGAGAAGACAATGCATGTCTTTCCTGCCCTGTCTCTTCTCATATGGTGCAAGGAAGTCTTGCAGTCTAGATTTCTCAGTCTGGTTTGGTGAATAACTTGACCTCTGCTCTGAACTAAGCAACCCTCACCTCTTCACATTCTTCATCTGGGCCCAGATCCTGGCTGGATCTTATGGACCTCAGGCTTCCTTTCTTAAGACAACAGTAGGCAAAAGATGCTGCACGATTGGTTCTAATGACCAAGAACTTGGTCTTGACATCCCAACTCAACAGCTGATGCGGTGTAGTAAATTACTTGGTATGGCTTTTCTACACATAAGTCATTATAAACTCAGTGATGGAATGAGCAACTGAGGAGCTCCTGATTGTAAATGTTATCCACCTGGGTTATTTCTGTTGGGAGTGGCACAACGCAATGTTATGGGAGGCTTACTCTCAGGTGCTTAGAATTCTGTTGTTATGATTGGTTGGTCTGGCCACTCTGCCAAGCTCAAAAGGAGGCCTCCTAGAGGCAGAACTCTCTCTGACTGCTGGTTGAGGAAGACATGCTGCTGAAAGAGACACGCACTTCTGAAAAAGAGATGTAAGAGACACGCATGCTGAGTGAGACACCAAGGTACCAGCACTGCTGGGAAACAGACTGTGAGAGACCGTTGGCTGAGGGACGGTGGGCTGGGAGAGAGACTGAGCATTTTTCCTGAACTTAATTGTAGCCTGCTGCTTCCCCAGTAAACTCCATAATCTGTGAGTTCTGTGTGGCCACTGCAGCGAATTATTGAACCCAGGAGGTGGTGGGTGCTTTGGGAGGAACGGTTGGAGAAAGGGCTGGAAGGAGGCAGCATGTCTGGCCTTGCAGTAATAGGCCTTGGGCTATTGATGGTGATTCTGCCTTCCTCTTGTGGGGTTCAAAGAGGTCAGAATATGTGGCCTCCTTGTCCTTTTAGCAGCTGGCTTTGGGGTATCCAGGGCATGGGATCCAAGATGCGGGGATTCGAGATTGGCTTTGCTACTAACTGCCTGCGTGACTCGAGACTGAACCCTTTCCCTCTGGAGCCCAGATGTCTTTGCTGTCTAGTTATTTATTTATTTGTTAACTACTGCATTGCTACAAGTGGACTTCCCTTTCAATGGGTAATTTAATGGCTGAATAACAACAATGACATCACTAATTATATTGAAGTGTTGAATATGAGCCAGGCACTTGCCACCTACTAACCCATTTCATCTTCACAACAAGCCTGTTATTTCCCTAGGAAGCTGAGGCACAAAGAAGTTTAACATTCACATAGCTAGTGAGGGCTTTGAACCCCGGCTGTCTGGCTTCAGAGTATGAGCTTTAACCACTTCCCAGCCATATCAGGGGCCTCTGCTATCCCTCCCATACCTATGGATGTCAGTTTCAGGGAAAGAGAGCCTGGAAAGACCCAGAAATTGAGGCATAGGGATCCCGGGATGCCTAGCTTCAAAGGAGAGAATGGGACACTGATGCCCGGGAGGGTCAGTGACTTGGCTTGGGTTACAAACCAAGGATCCTTGTTCCCTGATCACCATCTCTCTCCTGTCTCAGTAACTACACATTATTCCCAACTGGACCAACTGATCCTGTCCTCAATGCCTAGATCCACAATCTCAGTCAACTCACATCTGCAAATGAGATTTTAATTTTGCTGCCAGTGCTACGAAACACTGACTAATTGAGATTTCTCATTGTGGAGATGTTCCCACAGCCCTTGTGGCAGATCCCAGAATTCCTTTTTGCTGTAGTTCAATAATGTACATCTCAATCTAAGCCCACCTCACAGGGCTCTGCCCCCGCAGCCACCCCCACTGCCTGAGGCCTGCTCTGGGAGTCACCCCGCTCCCTCTCTGTCATGTGGGCAGGACAAGATCATTATAGCACCTCGGTTATTTTAGGAAGGCTGAGGAGCAGAACCAAGCATCCCTGATCTCCCTTGATTCTCAAATTGGGATGGGGGGAAAAGAAGACAAAAAAGGTCATCACTTCTGGCATCAGCCCCCGGGTTCTCTATCACTCGTTGGCACGTGTTCTCCCGACCTACTTTCCCCTTTTATGAATTCTGCCTCTATCTCTGGCAGCTCGAGCATGAGGCAGTGGCTGCTCAGCCACAGTGCAGTATGCAGTCCCAGCCTGTGGGCAAGAGCCACCTCCTCTCTTCCTCCCACTGACTCTGGGCCCCTCACTGCTGACTCACGTTCTTCTCCCTGTATTGAGATAAAACAGCTGGTGGTTCCCACAAATCCAGACTAAGCAGGAAGATTGGAGCTGGCTCAGTTGCAGAAGGGAGAGGTCAGGGCTGGGCACATTTGAAGGGAAAGCAAAAAAGCACAGCTGATCCCCCAGATGCTTATACTGTAGGAATATCCGACGTCTGGATGTGGCTGACATCTGGACGGGCAAACTCGTGTTTTTCTTGATCCAAATGCTGGTTAATTATGAGGAGGCAACCTGAGCTTCTCAACCCAATAAGGATGACAGTATGATGACAGCTGAGCTGAGACAGTATGAGAGACAATATGAGAGCCTTTCTTATCAAAACTAGTCTTACTACTACTATTACAAACAACTTCTGATAGATTGTGAAAATGGCCACAGTTATTCTCCTCTCTAAATCCATCCCCTTTGCTATGTGGCTTTGCAGCACCTCTCATCAAGAGGTGAAATCTACTTTCATTTTAAGTCTAGGCTGACCTCTTGACTCCTGGTGGATAACAGAATGTGGTGAAGTGACACAGGACCAGTTCAGAGCCATGGCCTCAAGAGGCTTTACACATTTGTGCTCTTTCCCTTGGAATCCTGTGAATAAGACCAGATTAGCCCCTGGAGGAAGTAAGACACACAGAGTGGGCCATCCTAGATCAGCCTAACAGATGCATGAGGGAGCCCAGCCAAGACCAGAAGAACCATCCAGCTGAGCCCAGGCTGAATTGTTGACTTGCAGAATTGTGAGCTAAATATGCAGTTTTGTTTTGAGCCACTAAGTTTTAGGAGTAGTTTGTTATGTAGCAAAATCTTGCTAATAAAAAGTTTTTGTTTTTTGGGGATCAATGATAGGATTTACAAAAAGACAACAACAATCTTTTTTTTCATTGTTATGGTTAATTTTACTTATCAACATGGCTAAGCTATGGTGCCCAGTTGTTAGCTCAAACACTAGTGTAGATGTTACTAGGAAGGTATTTACATGTGATTAATATTTACAATCGGATGATATTAAGGAAAGTATATTGCCCTCCATGATGTGGGTAGGCCTCATCCAATCAGTTGAAGGCCTTAAGAGCAAAAACTGACATTTCTTGAGGAAGAAAGATCCTGCCTCAGGCCTGTAATATAGATATCCTGCTAGTTTCCATCTTGTCTGGCCTATGGATTTCAGACTCAAGATTGCTGGAGCTTCCAGTCTGCGTGGTTTATGTCAGCCCCTACATGTGAGTGAGCCAATTCTTTAAAATAAATCTCTACTTACCTACTTGCATGTATGGGTATACATTGCATGACAGTGATGTGGACCTACATTAACAATGTCCACTATAAAGGAATATATATATATATATATATATATCTCCCATATATGGTTCTGTTTCTCCAGAGAATCTAAAACAGTTCTATAACAGTCAGGCGAACCTAAAACAGTCATGCAAACATCATAGCAATGTTAATGGAATATGAAATAAAAAAGACACAAGTCACTCATTATCTGATCATCCCGCAAAATACCAGCAGGAATTAAAAGCAAATCATAGTTTGCTGGTTCCTTAAAAAGCTAAACATAGAATTGCCATATGAACTAGTAATTCCACTCCTAGTTATATATCCAAAAGAATTGAAAGCAGGAACATAAACAGATACTTGTACATCAATGTTCACTGGAGCACTTTTCACAATAGCCAAGAGGTAGAAACAACCGAAGTGTTCATCAACAGGTGAATGGATAAGCAAAGTGTACATCCATACAATGGAATATTGCTCAGCCATAAAAAGAAATGAAGTTCTGATACATTCTACAACATGGATGAACCTTGGAAACATTATGCTGAGTGAAATAAATCAGTCACAAAAGGACAAATATTGTATGATCCCACCTATATGAAATATCTAGGATAGGCAAAAGTACAGAGACCAAAGTTTATTAGTAGTTACCAGGGGTGGGTAGAGGAAAGGGGGATTCATTGCTTAGAGGACACTGAGCTTTTGTTAATGGTGATGGAAAAGTTTAGAAAAGGATAATAGTGATGGTTGAACAACATGATGAACATAATGTACATAATCACTGAATTGTACACATGAAGAATGTTGAAATGGCAGGTATTTTGTTACATATATATATTTACTGCAATAAAAACAAACAAACAAATAAAAACCATGAATCACTTTGCTCAACCTACCCAGTATTTCTGTTTCATCCCATGGATGTCATTCCCTATAGTGGCTCCCCTTAGTGGCTGCAGTTGACACCCACTTACCAGGATCTTAGAGGTGTAGGCGCTGTTGATGGCGATGGCATTGACCAGCAGCTCCATGGTCTTGGCATTGACGGAGCTGGGGTCAGGGATCTCCTTGTAGTGGACGTCGCCGATGTAGGCCTGCACCACTGTCATGCGATTGGTGGTCAGTGTGCCAGTCTTGTCTGAGCAGATGGCCGTGGCATTGCCCATGGTCTCACAGGCATCCAGGTGGCGCACCAGGTTGTTGTCCTTCATCATTTTCTGGGGGGAGGGGCAGGTGAGAAGGCATCAGTGAGCAGAGGGAGCTAGGTGTGCTGGGTAAAAACACAGTAAATGAGGCAGAGCTGCCACAGTAAATGAGGCAGAGCTGCCTCTCCTGACCAGGCAGAGGACCTCGGGGATTGCAGCCTTCTACGTTGGGGTTTTCTGTGTATGTGAGCCTTTTCTTTCTCTTTCACTAACTAAGCCATTTAAAATAGTTGATTGACTTTATTAATTCTGATTACATAAATAATCTACATTTTCTAGGGAAAAATATAATAAATTAAGGTTGTGTCCTCACCGACTAATTCAAATATTTTTTTTTTTATAACATAAGTAACAATTCCATATTTGGTTATGGATTTTCTGATATGTATCATCTTCCACTGTTGCCTGGTTTTCACAATCACTTTGATCTCACCAAACACAATGAATTTAGGATATATTGTTAGTTGTCGTGGATCCTACTCATGGCAAGCCCATGTGTGTCAGAGAACTGTGCTCCACAGGGTTTTCAAGGGCTGATTTTTCAGAAGTAGATCATCAAGCCTTTCTTTCAAGGTGTCTCTGGGTGGATTCGAGCTGACATCTAGGGATTCCATATGTGCTTATAGACAGAAAAACATCTGGAACGATGCATATTATAATATTAACGTAATTATCTCTGTGGTGGAATTATAGGAGATTTTTGTTGTTTTCTTTTTTTAACTCTGTAGATTTTATGTTTCTACAATGAACATGAATTACTACTTGCATAATAAAGCCACAAAATTTATTTTAAGTATAGACACACAAAATGGAAAAAAGAAAAGAAATCAGCCATAATACTACCACCCAGAACTGACACATTTTCTTATACACCAACATCTTTTTTTTATTTTGTAATAAAAAATGAAATTCTACTATACATATTAATTATTTTCTTTCATACACTTTCTTTTCTCTCTGCCCCACCTCCATTCCCCTACCTTCTTCCAGGTTTTCAAGTAACTGATGCAAATAAAGTATTTTTAATGCAGGCCCTACTGACACAGTGACCCTATCTGGCAAGGAGGGACTTGAAAAGCTGCCAGAGGCTGAGTCAGATTGAGCTCTAGTCTGTGCATAGGAATGCGATTTCCTTTATTCTTGTTCCTCATTGTAACTCTTTGTAGTAAGGGTGAAAATGGATTTAATTAGCATAATTTTAATAAAAGTTTATTTAACTAAAAAATGAGTGTTGGTAGGATTATATGCCATTGCAGTTTCTCTTGGGGATATTAGTAACAATAAATGTTTATTGAATGGATGACCAACAGCAAGTTGAAGCTGCGACACAGTTAACAGTTTGCAAAGCTCTTTTGCATTTGTTTTCTTGTCTGATGTCTAAGAATGCCATGAGATCTGCGAAAATTCTTATACTCCATTTTGGCAATTGAAGAAGCCAAGGCAAAGTGACTTGATCAAGATCAGACACCTGTGAGGGTTAGAGCCCAGCTCTGTTTAACCTCACAGTCTTGCTCATTCCATTGGGCCTCAGCCCATCTTCACTCTCTGAAGAGGCTTCATCTATTGGGTTTAAGATTGTTTAAGCCTGTACTATCCAATATGGTAGCCATACGAGGCTACTGAGCACTGGAAGTGTGGCTAGTTTGAAGTGGAATGTGTTGTAAGTGTAAAATACACAATGGATATTGAACACTTATTATGAAAAAAGGAATGTAAAATATCTCAATAATTTCATATGGATTGTATGTTGAATTAATAAATTAGACATATTGGGTTAAAGTAAATTGTTGTTGTTGTTGTGTGCCATCAAGTCGGACCCGACACATAGTGATCCCTCCTCAGGTTTTCCAGATGGTATCACTACGGAAGTAGATTGCCCAACCTTCCTTCCGAGGAGTGGCTGGTGGGTTTGAACCATCAGCTTTCTGGTTAGCAGTCAAGTGCCTTAGGCACTATGCTACCAGAACTCCATTATTAAAATTAATTTCATTTTTTTGATATTAACCTGACTTTCTGTTGTTGTTAGCTCCCATTGAGTCAGCCCCTGACTCATGGCAATCCCACATACAATAGAATTAAATGCTACCCACTCCTATGCCATGGGTTGTGGATCAGACCCTTGTTATCCATAGGGTTTTCATTGGTTGAATTTCAGAAGTAGATCTCCAGGCCTTTCTTCCTAGTACATCTTAGTCTGGAAGTTCCACTGAAATCTGTTTAGCATCACAGCAACACACCCCATGTGACAGACAGGTGGCGGCTATGCATGAGGTGCACTGGCCAGGAGTCACACCGGGGTCCTCCACATGGGAGGTGAGAATTCTACCACTGAACAGAAGGGCAGTGTTTACACAGGGAGATAGCTCAGGGGGCAGGAAAGAACAGGAAAGAAGGACACAGGGAAGAGGTAACTACAGGAAGGAAATGCGAAGAGAGCTGTTACATTGTGGGGAATTGCAGTCAATATCATGAAACAAAATGTGTGTGAACTGCTGTATGGAAAATGAATTTGCTCTGTAAACTTTCACCCAAATCACAACAGAAATAAAGAGAGAAAGAGAGAGAGAGAGAGAGAGAGAGAGAGAGAATTCTAGCAATGAACTACTACCCTCAACGGGCTACTCAAACAAAAAAACCAAACTCACTGCCATCAAGTTGATTCTAACTCATAGCAATCTCCAATGGAGTTCCAAGGCTATAAATCTTTACAGAAGCAGACTGCCTCGTCTTTCTTCTGTGGAGCAGCTGGTGGGTTCGAACTACTGACGTTTTGGTTAGTAGCCAAATGCCTTAACCACTATACCACCAGAGCTCCAACATGGCTATTAGGAAGTATGAAATTATACATGTGGCTTCTATTTCATCTCTATTGGATAGTACTGCTCTGTAAGTGGTCATACCTATTGTGTAATGGCAGCTCCCAAGAGGGTAGGACCAGGCTCAGAGAGGGAATAATTTGCCTCTTCTTGGTTGATGTGCTACCGTAAGATTATCAAGTGACTGTAGAGGTAACACTACCTAAGACAACTGAAGCTACTGGTGCCAGAGATGTGAACTGCAGAGCACACCAAGAAAACAAAAAACAAACAGAAAAAAAGCAAAAAAGCAAAAAACCACCACCAACACACATACACAAAACAAAAAGTCCCATAAAAACAACCAAACACATAGCCTTTGAGTTGATTCTGACTCATAGTGACCCTACAGGACAGAGTAGAACTGCCCCATAGGGTTTCCAAGGTTATAAGTCTTTACAGAAGCAGACAGCTTCATCTTTCTCTCATTGGGCAGCTGGGGGTACAAACCACCAACCTTTTGGTTAGCAGCCAAGCACTTAACAACTGCACCACCAGTGCTACTCCAGAGTGCATAGAAGACTAAAAATGTACGTGATTCCCCCAAACCAACCCTGTGCAACTTTCAAGAAGACCCCCAGCTCAGCTGGGTGGCTGTGGCGCCCTACTCATCTTCCCCAGGCCCCAGGTCCCTGAGGTGCATTGTGCTACGACCTGCTTGAGCTTTGCTTTGTGGGAGGGAAACCTCTGAGAACCCTAAAACGAGGAGATGATAAGGGCCTTCTCTTTTACCCAGAGCTGCCACTTTCTGGCACCTGCTGGGAGATCTCTTTTCTGTATGAAATTACATCAGAGAGCCCAGTCCAAATTCCGGCTTGGAAACTGATGCAGACTGTGTCCTCGGGAGGTAGTGCTGCCAACTTCTCAGGGTGAGTGACTTGTTTGTAAACACAGTCAAGTGGCCATGCCGCCCCCCTAGTGGGATGTTCTGGCACAGGGAATAGGAGCCCAGGGTCCTGCCCTCAGAGGTGGAGAGCCACTGGGGTAAGGGCAGAAAGGACAGGGCTGTGAGAACCTGGCAGGGAGGCCAGGCTTGAAGTATGCATCCTGAGGGAATTGGACTGGCAGTGCCCACGAGACACCAGGAGGCTGGGCCCAGTGCCCATGCTGCATTTGTGAGCGGGTGGAGGTGGGCTTTGCCATCAGTGCAGAAATTAGGCACTCTAGCTTCCACAGTAGACATTCAGAGACTTGTCAGCCCTGCCTTTAAACTTCTTTGGAAACAGCTTCTGCTTTTAGTGTTGATGGCTGCACAACTCTGTGAATATCCTGAGAACCACTGAACTGTACACTTTTAATGGATTAATTGTATGGTATATGAATTATATCTCAATAAAGCTGTTAAAAAACAAAGGGAAAAAAATCTATTTTCAGCCTATATCCCAAGGGGGTAGGGTTTCCATCAAATCAGAATTCCTCTTAAACTTCTTTAAAACTTTTAGGGAGAACCTCAAATTAGTTGCACTAATGCAATAGCTGGGGCCTAGGACTTTGATAGCATAGTGCCTAAGGCACTTGACTGCTAACCAGAAGACTGGCGGTTCAAACCTACCAGCAACTCCTTGGAAGGAAGGTTGGGCAATCTATTTCTGTAGTGATACTGCCTCGGAAACCCAAGGAGGGGTCACTATGAGTTGGGTTTGACTCGACGGCACATAACAACAAGGACTCTGATGGCCAGATTTCTGCTTAAATTTGGTGGGATAGCTTTTGGCCTCCACAGTGATGTCTAGTTTTTTTTTTTTTTTTTTAAACTTTTTCTGTGATTTGGGTAAAAGTTTACAGAGCAAATTCATTTTCCATACAGCAGTTCATACACATTTTGTTTCATGACATTGACTGCAATTCCCCACAATGTAATAGCTTTCATCCCACTTCCTCTCTGTAGGTACCTTTTCCCTTTCATCCTACTTCCTCTCTGTAGGTACCTTTTCCCTTTATCCTTCTTTCCCATACATTCCAGCCCCCAAGCTGTCTCCCTGTGCATACACAGCCTTTATATTCTCCCAGGACTGATCGCTCTAAGCAGTGTATCTACCTGATGTAAATGTTCACCCCATATGCCTGTCTGTTGTTTGGCTGGAAGCCATAGGAGTGGATTCAATTCCAGACCTGAAGGGTAACTAGAATCCATAGTCTCAGGGATCTCACCAGGTTCTATCAGACCAGTAAACCTGGGCTTTTTTTTTTTTTTTAATGATTTTGAGTTTTATTCCACATTGTTCTCCCATTCTATCCAGGTTTTTTTTTTTTTTTTAAGTTTAGTTGATTGCTAGTGTTTAAACCCTGAGCCAGTCCCCAGTGGGGGGCTTTTACATTAGGAAAAAAAGAAAAACCAAACTCACTGCCATCGAGTTTATTCTGACTTATAGTACCCCCATGGGGTTTCCAAGGTGGTAAATCTTCATGGAAATAGATTGCCCGGTCTTCTTTCTTCAGAGTGGCTGGTGGGTTTGCACTGCCAACCTTCTGGTTAGCAGCCAAATGCCTTAGGCACTGCATCACCAGAGCTCCTTTTTGTATGAGAGTTCTTTTTTAGAGTCTCAGTCATCGAGCTGTCTCTGACTTATGGCAACCCCCAGTGTGTCATAGTAGAACTGTGCTTCATGGGATTTGTAATAGCTGATTTTTTGGAAGTAGATCACTAAGACTTTCTTCCAAGGTGCCTCTGAGTGGACTTGAACCTCCAACCTTTTGGTTAACAGTCAACAGAGACCGGGGTTGGACTCCCAGCCAATGCATCTCAAGCACAGCCACCTCTTCTCTGCCAGTGAAGGCTTGCGTGTTGTTATGATGTTGAGTAGGTTTCAGTGGAGATTCCAAACTAAGAGGGACTAGGACAAAAGGCCTGGTGATCTGTTTCAGTCAATGCAAACCCTATCAGAAGGGTCTGATCCCATTGTAAGTAGGATAGCTATGAGTTGGGGGCCAACATGACAGCAGCTAACAACAATATGTTAAAGTTCGGATTTCTGGCTTGTCTTGAAAACATGAAGCATTTGGCAAAACAGGGCCTGGATCTCCACAGGGTGAGAGATGGCTGGGCTTATTAGTGGCTGTCCCCTTAGTCAGGGCCCAGTCCTCTGGTTTGCTATAGTTCCCTGGACTCCCAGAAGGCACTGAGTTTTGGGTTCTTTCATATAACCTCTCTTAGGGCTCCCAGTGTGTCCACTCCCTTCCTCTAGCTCTTCTTCCAACCTCAGCATTGGCCCCATAGGCCACCCTACAGTCCCCGAGCTGAGAGTAGTCCACCTCAGTCAAGGTGGGACTGCGTCAGCTGCTGGCTTTACTTTCCCTTCTCACCTTCACTGAGTAGGCCAGTGAGATGGTGACAGCCAGAGGGAGCCCCTCAGGCACGGCGACCACCAGCACTGTCACACCGATGATGAAGAACTTGACAAAGTACTGCACGTAGACAGGAGTGCACTCGGGTAGCCATGGCTTCTTGTTGACCACGAAGGTGTCCACGGTGAAGTAGAGCACCAGGATGATCACCGTGATGGCCGACATCACCAGGCCTGCAAGGCGGAGAGACCTGCTCAGAGGGACTCCTAGAGGCAGGGGACTCTGGGAAGGGAGAGTTGTGCTAAATCCTTGGCAACAAAGGGCTCTGGGGTCAAGTGAACTGAGCTCACATCTCATCTCTGCCACTCACTTGCTTTGTGACCTGAGGTAAGTCTCGGATGCTCACAAAGTCTCAGGTTCCTCCTCTGTACAACTGGAATACTAGAAAAGGACATCATGTTTGGTAAAATAGAGGGTCAGCAAAAATGAGGGAAACCCTCTATGAGGTGGACTGACACAATAGCCACAACAACGGACTCAAACACACCAACGATGGTGAAGATGGTGCACGGCTGGACAATGCTTCTTTCTGTTGTACGTAAGGTTGCAATAAACTGGAGCTGATTTGACAGCAACTAACACCATAATGGGGGTGCATGTTGACTTCATGTGGCTTTGTGAGGAGCAACTGAGGTAATGCATGTAAAGTGCCTAGCACAGTGCCTGACACACAGTAGGTGTTCAGTATATGAATACATAAGGACTGTTTCCATAGAGCTTTCCAACAACAAAAGTATGCAGTTTTTAGTATGTATTTAGCTGTTTATTCAACAAATTCCTTTTGCATACTTACTACATGCCAGGTGCACATTAGTTCCTATTCTAAGAACTTGGGATACAGCGGCAAAGGAGACAGAGTCCCTGCCCTTGGCATTCTAGAGGGGAAGGTAGAGTAGACAACAAGCAAACAAATACATGAGCAGTAGAATTTCAAGTATAGATAAATGCTATCAAGAACAATGCGAGAACAACGTGATGGGAAGTGATCTGGGATGGTAGGGAGTGGCTACTTCAGCTAGGGTGGCCAGGGAAGGTGCCTTGAAGGAGGAAATATTTGAGCAGACATCCAAACGATGATGAGACACAGCTGTGGTGACTTGGGGGAAGAACATTCTAGACAGAGGAAACAGCAGGTAGCCATTTTTTGGATGAGGAAACTGAGGCTCAGAGAGAGGAAGGGACTTGCCCAAGGCCACAGGTCAGGGGGACGCTATAGCTGTAGCAGGTGCAGGTGGGACCAGTCAGATCCCCTGGGATCCCTCCTGCCAGTTGGGTGTGCTCACCTCCCCCCAACCTGTCTGCCACAGGTGCTGCAGCAGATGCTGCCGCAGGTGCTGCTGGGAACTGCTCACCTGCAACCCCCTCCTCTGCAGCGTGTGCTGTGTGTGGAATCCCTGTCAGGAAGGGCCTGGGCATGCACCACCAATCTAATGGCCAATATCCAATGGCTGATACAGGGTATAAGAGTTCAGCCCCCTTACTTCAAGGGGGACAGAACTGCAGGGTTATGCTCCAGATGCAACCCCCCCTCGTGGGGTCAGGCCAGTGGTGGTGTGGGGTTTCTCCTGGAATCTCAGTTTTCTCTGGCTTCTTCCAGGACCCTGTCTGGCTATCCTTTACAACTAAATCACTTGCCCTCCTTTTAAAGAATTCAGCCCAAGAGAGAGGCTGAGGTGGAATTTGAACCCAGAATTGCTTGACTGTGAACCTCATTCCTGGCAGGGAAGGGAGATGAGTGGGGACTTAGAAGGTTATGGGTTGTTCCCATCACTTAGTTCCCTGTGCCCGTGCCCTGTTTCCGTGGGGTCTTCTGCCTGTGATGGTGATGGCAGGGTGGAGGAAATCCCTGGGCCAATCTTTCCCTACCCCCAGCCCCAGCTGCAGTGCTTCCACTCCAACAGACCCCGTCTGACAATTGCAGGGGCGGGAAGCCAAGCTCCTAGAAACTGGGAGCTGTCACCAGACCTTGAGTTTAAATATAGGCATCCAAGCCTGTAATTTGCCTCTCTTCCCCATGCTGTGTGCCTATAATTAGAGCTGAGAGATAGCACAGAGGAGTGAGCAGCTAGGTGGGAAGGCCTTGGTGTTTGCAGGGACCATCCCTGGGCAGGGATGGACGCCAGGCTAGGCCAGGAGTGGAGCCTCATCTTGCAGCTGGCCTTAGGCTCTTGGGCCACACAGCCATACCCGCCCCTGCTTGCAGCTCAGCTCAGTTATGAAGGATGGCTTGTGTTGGGGCTCAGACAGTGGGCTTCTCCCTGGGCTTTTGGCACTACCCTTGACCCTTCAGTCTTCTGCAGCTGGTGGTCATTATAAAGCCAAAGCCATTCCTGCCCCTGCTCAAAACTCCTCCATGGCCCCTACTGCCCTCAGGATAAAGCTGACTATAATGGAGAAAGGTCTGCTTCCAGAGCCCAGGCCTTTAGCTTCCCTCTTCTGCCTCATTAAACACTGAGTGCCTGCTGTGTATAGAACTCAGATTGGTAGCTGAGGCAGAGAGGGATGGGCCTCAGGGACCATCTCATCCAAGCCCCCCACTCTGCAGATGAGGCAATCAAGGCCCACTGTGTCCTCCCCTAGTCCCCAGGTGTGTCCGCTGCCTGCTGCTGCTGGTGCACTCACCTGCCTTGCCAATTTGCACAGCCAGCTTGGTGAGCTTGCCCTGCAGCACAGACTTCTCCTTCTTGTGCATGTTGGCCTTCTTCTTGTCATCTGCGTCGCCACCCTCAGCACTCTTGAGGGGCTGCATCTCCATGGCGGCTGCCCCATCCTGCTGTTTGGCTGCAGAGGCAAAGCATGTACGTGCACAAACACACACACACAGACACGCACACACACAGACACAGACATGCACACACACACACAGGTCAGCCTGCAGGGTGAGATTGGTGGCACCCAACCCTGCCTGCCCAGGAGAGAGTGGTAGGGAAGTGACCCTCTACCCTGGTTCCCCTGCATGGCTGGCATAGAAGCCCTGGGATCGGGGGGGGGGGTGTCTGCCTTTTCTAGCTCAATGTCCTGAGTCCCAGCAGGGAGTGACACAGCTCCACCCTGGGGTCCCCTCTGGTCCTAAGTGAGACCATGGACCCTATCCCAATTTCTCTCTTGGCTTTTCTCACATTCAGATAAGACAGACAGACTTGGGTTCTGCCTAGTTGGTCCTTGGGGCCAAATTCTTGGGATATTAAGTGGCTATCAGAGAGGAGGGACAAAAGGGAGGCATGAAAGGTAAAAAAGGAAGATCCGTCCAAGGGTGCTGAGTCCCATCTCCAGCCAAGGTGGCCTCTTTAGCACAGGACTGACTGGTGGGCACTTGACCTTTTGGACAGAGACTGGCCCAGACTCTCTACTCCTTGAACTCTAAGGGTCTCAACAAAGTAGCCTCAAGCCTCTAGTGAAACTGGCCAAGCTGGAAGACTGGGGGGCGGCTGGCCTGTATGGTGCTCCTCCCTGAACAATGGCTATTAGGCCTGGCACCAAAGGCAGCACACTTTAACCCCCACAGATGCCAGACACCCACAGTGTGGATATGTCTGCCTCTCATGAGATGCTCAGAATAGGAGGGGAGGGGCTGCAGGGACCACAAAGCAGTTAATTGGAAAGGGTTACCTTTGCTCTGGCTGGCGTCCACATTGCCATCCTGCATTTTACCTACACGACAAAGAATTTTAACAGACAACAGAGAACACACAGTACACATCGGTCATCACAAAGACGAAACAGGGCCATGGACATTCAAGTCACAGATGGAGGAAGGAGGTAGTGGCATAAATAAGAGTGTGGCTTGTACCTGCAGGAGCCTGTGTTTACTGGGGTCCTCACTACAGGAACCCGAGGACTGTCTGCACCAGTCTCTGAACAGGCAAGCCTGGCCCATGGTAGCTGTAGGCTCTGCCAGACCAAGCAACTCTTGTCTCTCTAGGGGTCAGGAAAGAGGGCTTGGGTTTGCATTATTTTGGCCCTGAGCCTCTTACAGATTAAAGAGTAGCATTTGAGGGTAAAAGAGACCAGAATCTGCTGGCAGGATGCAGACAGAGAGGGTGCTCTCAGCACCCAGGCCAAGCCTTTTACTCGTTTAGTTGGTTGCTGCCTTTTGTGGGCAGAGAGGCGGCAGAGGGACAGTTGTTCAGCTACATCCTTGTCATTTTCTGATAAAGGAAAACATGCAAACATAATCCAATGTAAGAGAGAGAGAGAGAGAGAGACAGAGAGAGAGAGAGAGAGTATGAGAGAGCGAGAGGGCTAGCTTCTAGGATAGGTGGAGTTTGAACAAGGTCAATGTGTGCTTTAGTTTCTAACTCCAGAAGGGACAGTTCAATCTTCTCCTTCTTTCTCGGAAAGGGTGTGAAGCCATGGAGTGGACAAGCCCTGCCTGATGTCACTGAGAGTGGCCCTGGCAAAGGGCAGGTGAGGTTCCCCAGTGGTGGTCTCAGAGGGACCCCTAGTATGTCCAGGAGGCTTGGTGGGCTCCCAAAGGGAAGCTGCTCTTCTCTTGATATAGGGTGTGTGCCCTTTATTCTAAGGTTGATGGGCTCAGGTCACGGGAGACAGGGGAGGTGGGGTCAGTGCACTCACCTGGGCTCCCTCCTCCCTTCCTGAGTCCAAGGCTGCCTCATGCTGGGGAAGGGGCTGACTCTGGAGCTTATGAGGCCATAGGGGACCAGGAAATGCATCTATCCCACTTTACACCACTGGGGGTCTTCATCCTCAAATCAGGTTGCCTGGGAGTCCAGTTTGCAGCGTGGCAGGTATTAGTGGCTGTAGCCTGAACCTGAGACACCTGTCCCAGAGCTGCCAGCTGCTGGGGAGAAGAACAAGGTAGTCCCTGCTGACACTATTGAGAAGGGCGTTCCTGTCCACTGGGCCAGCATGCTCAGGCAGGGCCTTGGGCCCTCTCTGAGGGCCCATCCCCTACAGGAGGAATGAGAAGGTTGGCTGCCCTCAGAGACTGGGTGCAAAAAAGTCTCACAGCTCAGGGCCCACGAAAACCCACCCTATGTCAGTGGGGCTCCCTGCTCTTCAGATGATTATAACCTCCACAGTCTCACTGAGTCCTCACACATCCTTCGCCACTAAGGCTCATAGCCTGTGAATGGAAAGCCTTGCCACGGTTTCTCCTGAAGGCTCAGTTGGGATCCTCTGTGAGCTCAGGGGAGGGCAGTCATGGGTACAGTAGTGGGACTGGGCTCCCCAAGACCCTGCTTCATCATCAAGTAGCTGTGTGGCTTTGCCTCCCCCAGCTTCAGCTTCCACCTCTGTGGAACAGGCATGACTCACCTCCCAAAAAAATCAAACTCACTGCCATCAAGTCGATTCCGACTCATAGTCCGTTGGTTTTTGAGGCAGTATCTCTACGGAAGTAGATTACCCAATCTTCCTTCAGAGGAGTGGCTGGTGGATTTGAACCGCCAGCCTTCTGGTTAGCAGTCAAATGCCTTAGGCACTATGATATCTACCAGAGCTCCTTCCAGAGCCCCTGAGATTTACACTGATAATAATTGTGTGTAGTTTTCTGCATACTGCAGTTTCAAGGGCTTTTGCAAATGGCAACTCTTGTCAGCCTTCCCCATAAGTGTGCGAGGCCGAGCAGGGAGGAGTCTTCATCTCTCTTTTACAAATGAGGACACTGGGTCCAGGAGAGGTTCCAAGGGAATCCTCTCTGCTTCTATAACTCCTCAACATTTAATCCTCACAGTAACCCCGTGGCTGTGCTATGATTTCCATAGACACTGCAGTCATCATCAGCACACCTATTTTATAGATGACTTGGAGGGGCCGAGACACGTCCACTTATGTGCTAGGACTAGCTGCCCCATTGCAAGTGCACCGCTGTTTCTTCCTCTTCTCTGGGCAAAGGATCAGAGACCCACTGGGGCTTCAAGAGAAAAGCCCTCATTGCTCTATTGTAAAATTCTTTCAATTGAATTGAAAAAACAAAACACTAAAAAAGGTTTTTGGAGCAAACAGGACTGAATTACAACAATTATTTTTATTTTTTAAAATAATTTTACTAATTGTGCTACAGGGCACCAGAGGACTCTGCTTCAATAGCTGGCGTATCAAGGCACAAAGGGGCCTTTATTTGCATTGCATATTATCAGATGTAAGAGTCCATTAAACTAAGCTAGCAATTTCCTTTTTTATTTCCATAGTGACCACGTGGCCAGCAAAATAATCACCAATGCCTATGTTTGAGGCAGGGAATGGTGTTCTGGAGGTGCTTGGGTACAGATGGCCTGGCTTTTCAGAAGCAAGGGACTTATTTGGGACTCTCCTCAGCCGAACTAGTGCTCACCTGGTCACTGAACCATGGTGAGACCAGCTCTGGTCCCACATGTCCCATGTGGGACTTAGAGGCTGCTTTTCAGGGGAGCTGGGGGTGGTGGGGGATGGGGACCTTCACTGCATCCCATTCCAGATGTACCTTTTCCAAATGAGATCATTCTGTTTATAGATTCCCAGGTAAGTGGTAGATGGGAAAAGCAACATTCTGGAGGATTCCTGATGATATGACCTGATTAACAAGCTCTGGGGAGAGAGACCACTGGCTGGAAGACCTGGAGATGTCACTTCTCTTCCCTGAGCCTCCATTTCCTCCTCTGTAAAATGGGGATGATAACAAACACCTTGCAGGGTGGTTGTGGGAAGACACTTGTGTACATGCAGGAGACAACAGTGGTCTACCTGGGTGGTGCAAACAGCTGATCTGTTCTCTCAGCTGCCAACAGAAAGGTTGGAGGTTTGAGTCCACCTAGAAACACCCCAGAAGAAGTATCTGGCAATCTACTTACAAAAAAGCAGCCACTGAAAACACTAGGGAGCATGGTTCTACTCTGACACACATGGGGTGAGTCAGGGTCAAAGGACAACTGGTTATTGGTAATAGTGGGGGGTGTAAAGTAAAAGAAAACGCAACAATAATGGTAGTCATAATGCCTCCAAGATAAATGGAACATACCCATCTTTCAGTTGAGGGTTGGGGGGGCGTGGATTGAGGGAAAACTGCCAACTAAGTTATTGTCCTATATCCAAGCCATCATGATTTGACTCAGAGGAAGGAGAGGAAAGGCACAGTTAATTCTCTCTCACTTACCAAGGCTCAGTCCAGTGTCTCAACTTATAAGGCACACTTAAAACACAGATTCTTATTCAGCCAGTCTGGGGAGGGCCTGAGATTCTGCGTGTCTAACAAGCGGCAGTGATGCTGATACTTCTAGTCCTCAGACCACACTTTGAATAGGAATGGCTGAGAGCGCTGTTTCCCAGAATATGTTATAGGGCATACCAATCCCACAAGATGCAGCAAGGAAAGGACCGATAGTCAAATTAATTTGGAAAAACCTGCATGACTCTGTAACTGTCCAGTAGACACCAGCAATATTCAAGGCTCTGATAAGTCCTGCAATGAGAAAGAAACCCATTCAATGCAGTGGTTTTTAAACATATTTGACCACAGGATCCTTTTCTTTGTGGGGAAGATCTTTTTTAAAATTTATTTATTGAACAACAACAACAACAACACAGATTTATTATCTTACTTCTGCAGGTCAGAAGTCTAAAATGGATATGTAGGGCGGCAGTCCTTCTGGAGGCTCTAGGGGAGAATCTGTTTCTTTGCCTTTTCCAGCTTCTGGGGGGGAATGTTGTTATTAGGTGCCTTAGTCGATTACAACTTATAGTGATCTCATGTGACAGAGTAGAATTGCCCTATAGGGTTTTCTAGGCTGTGATTTTTATGGGGGCTGATTGCCAGACCTTTCTGCTGTGGAGCTTCTGGGTGGGTTCAAACCACCAACCTTTTGGTTAGCAGCCAAGCACTTAACCATTGTACCACCGCTCCTTAGAGAGGGGAATACAAACCTCTTAATATCCTTGTGAAATTTACACATTGGGAAGTCCTAGATAGGGAAAAGAAACATGCTCTTTAGAACCAGCTAGACCTGGGTTCAAATCCCAGCTCTGCTATTTTCCAGCTCTATGACTTTGGTCTAGTGTCTTGATCTGTGTAAGCCTCAGTTTCCTCATCTTTAAACTGTATAACAAAACCTATGCCACAGGGTTGTTGTGAGGATTAAATGAGACAATGAACATAGAGCGCTTGTAGTAGTGCCTGGTGCATAGCATGTTGTCAAACAATGAAAGTTCCCCATCTTTCTTGAAGTTTTTTTGCTGAATACCTGGAGGTTTTGCTGCAGTTTGGAAGTGAAATGCCCTTTCTTCTGGAGCTGAGGTCTGCATCCTCGCAGGGCCTAGCAGGTTTGTCACCCAGGGGAAGCGGACACCACCTCCTGTTTCCTTCTCTGGCAGCCGTGGGCTTGCCTATATCAGCTTTCCCTGTCATCCCTCAGCTACCTCACCCTGATGCATGACGCCTCCTACACCCCAAGCTGTCTTCTTTCCTCCTCCTGTGCCTGAAATAGACTGTACTTGAATTAGTCTTCCTTGGTGAGATGCTGTTTGCAGAAGTGTCTTACCCAGCCCATGACATAGGCACTTCCATCTTAGATCATTTGAGTCCAGGTGGCTCAGCTAGAAGCTTGGGGTAGAGAGGAGTGGGATGGAAAGGCCAAAAGTCTCCATATTTTTATGGAGTGGTAAGGAATAAATGGTATAATGGAGGAGAAACCCATAGCCCAGTGCCTGGTGTGGAGTGATGCAAAGAAAAAAAAAAAAAAAAGATTTGTCCCTCTCTTTGCTTTTCTGGAGTTACAGTTTCTTGACTGACCCCTAACATCTCTTAGCAGTTCAGGAACAGCCTGGATTACTACGATGTTACCTATTTTGGGGTCAGGGGAAGTATCCGAGTAAATAGAAGACCTGATGCTCTGAAGATGGGAGAGTGTGGTTTGGAGGCGAGTGAATGGAATTCCTTCCTACCCGTGTATAGGGAAGTTAAGATGCAGACCCCATGTGCACAGTGGCAGTCCCCCCACCCCACACCCAAGGGTCCAGTAACAATGCAGAGACCCAGGACAGATGCTCCAGCACAGGCAACAGCAAGAAACACCAGTCCACATCCGAGGGGCAGAACTTGGCCCGAGCCCAAGCAAACCCCCTGCCCGTTTGCTCTGTGAGAGAAAAGATGAAGAAATATCTACCAGTGGCTCAGCCATGCTACGGGATGGGGCCAAGGAGCTGAACACAGGCCCGGGTCCCACTTCCTTGAGGGAATTGGCGAGGCAAGGAGTGGATCCTTCACCGGGGACCCAGATGCCAACTTCAGCCCAGGTCCTGACCCCAGGCCTTCTCCCCAAAGCTGGGGTCAGGAGCGCGCTTAGGAGAGGGCACACCGGGTGGGATGCTGCTTCTTGGGGTCCAAATCTGCAGCCAAAGTCATGTCCCTCTTCTGGGCTCCACTGGAGGTCAAGGGCCCAATGGGATCCAGCTCCATTTTGGAAGCCGCAAATGGGGGCCATGTTGATTCCCCAGACGTCGCTCCTCTCTTAAGCGCCTGCCCCATGTGAGAGGATGACTGTCCCAGAGCTGCCCATGCACATCCGAGATCTGTGCAGTCCAGAAGAGGGAAAGGAAAGCCCAGAGTTGGGGTGGGGAGAGAGATACCCATCCAACCAAGACCAAGAGCTTGACATCAGAGACATACCATTGACTAGGCCGGCATTGGCACTATCTGCAGCATTTGAACCTGCCGCACCGTCTGCTGCTGCAGGGGGGTGGGAGGGATGGAAAATGCAGTGTGTCACAATGGAGGAAAGGAACAATGCAGAACAGCAACAATAATAGGGACATGAATCAACTGGCAAGGAAATAACATGACTATAGTCTCAAAAAAAATTTCCACTGAAAATCAAGAAACACAAAGTTGGGGAATGGAATGGTCCCATCGAGATGCCACAGAGGTCAAGGGAAAAACTCGGGCATGGAGGGGCTTTGAAATAAAACATGGAGGATGACCAACAAGGTTAGGTGGGATGGCACAGCTCTGTGTTGAGGTCTAGACTGAGGCACCCTGTTGGCCTAGCCAATTGAGTGGGTCCCCCTTCAGAGAAGGTTCATATGAGGAAAGGAGATCGGATGCCCATTGGGGCCAGGGGGACAAATGACCAGGAGTCATTTTAAAATATCCAACAACCAATATGGTGTAGGTGCCAATCTTTCAGGGTTGGTGTTTGCTATGACTACCATCAACGTGTACCAAGGTATTTTTGGCAGAATACCAGCCTGAAGACATGCCAATGGTGAAGACTTAACAGGTTTTGTGCCCTCGACTCAGGCTTGTCGGGAGCCCATTGCCATCTCCACCTTCCCTAACTAGCACTCAAAATGTTGCCTTGGAAATCCCCATAGAAGTTGCCCTGCCATTTAAGAGGTGACATCAAGCATATTGAATGTTGTACATGAGGCAGAAAAGGTACTAGTGAATTTCCTTAATTTAGAAATTAAAAACTATATGATACGGCCAAATTCATCCCTGATACTCTTTCTTGTGGTGGGGAAGAAAAGGGGTCTTGGGAGGGAGAGTAGAATACAGTGCTGGGTGAGATACACTGTTGGGCGAGGTGGACATGTTGTATAGTTGTGAGTAGCCAACAGGCTGTGCAGGGCAGTGGTGAGGGGAGAAGGGGCTTTAGGATGCGTGGCATGAATGAGGTGTTGTGTGTGGGATACAGTGCTAAGAGGGTGGGTGGCAGTGGGGATGAATTGTAAGACCAAGTCTGCAGAGTGGGGCACTAACATCTCTCAAGGACACAGACTGGAGGTCTGGCAGGGCAGAGTCTCCCTCAGTTATGAAGCCCCCTCCAGCTGTGTACTGGGAGTGTTGGGGCAGGGCCCCATGGTCAAAGGCTGATGCTAGTTCTAAGAGCCCCATCTACCCTAAGGGGGTCTACTGTACCTGGTAGCTGAAGGCCATCCCCCTTCTTCACACCTGTGTGATGATTTTTGAAATATGTTAATGAAGGAGAAGCACACATAGCCTCATCTGCTCACGCATCACACACACAAGCACTCACACACACCCGCATGCCCAGGGCATCCTGAAATGGGAACACACAGGTGGCTAGCTCTAGGCAACATCCCTGGTGGAGGTGATGAGATGGGAGGAAAGGGGTCCCATTCTGTCCACACTGTTCTGGTGGCCTGCGATGCTGGACTGCACCCCATCTTCCTCTGCCATATTCCCTCCACATCCTACCCCTTCTCTCTACACAAGGCCAAGTCGTCCATCCTCCCCACCTCTCTGGGCTGAAGCAGCAGCTCAGTGGGTGACCTTAAATTGGACTAGAAGAAATACAGGTTTTGTTCTGGGAGTGAGTTCTGGGTGCATCTATCCCCCACCCAGACCCCAGTGAGACCAAGGAAATGGGCACAGGCTGCTGCACCCTGCCCAAATGCCTGCATCCTGGGGCAGGGCCTAGCTGCCCCGGTCACAGCTTTTAAAGTCACTGTGGAGATCATCCTGACATCCTGTGGGACTTGAGGCCAGGACTATGAGCTCAGACTCAACCTTGGCACTCCCTTTGCTCTTTCTAGCCTTGTGATTTCCCAGATCACAGCTCAGCTCTCATATTCTTGTTGATGGGGCCACCATCATTTTAGGAGGACCCCACTGGATAATAGATTTTGCCCTTAGCACCGTGCCTGATGACATCTGAGAGCTGGAGGTAGAAAAGCATCCTCTGAGTCTCAGGGGAAACCCTGGTAACTCTTCTGGTGGATGCCAGAAGTTCTGGGTATTGGGGACCCTCCTCTGGAGCTTGGGGGAAGGAGACAAGATAAAAGTCTGGAAACCTGAAAGGGGAATTTCCCCGAGACTGCATGTGAGTTCCAGGTATAGAGCTGGCTATTTTGGGCTCCAGGTCTTGGACTTTGGATTTTGGCCTGACTTAATGGGATTTTGGCTTTTTGTATCTTCTGAGCATCCCTCCTTCTGTTTGGGAGCCACATTTATCCTGGGTTTCCAGCCTGATATGCTGAAAAGAGCCCAGTGAATAAGGAATCTTGTTTTCAAAGAAGAGCAAGGATGAGAACCTGGGCAAGGTGGCAACTGCAGGGGGATGAGAGAAGGGACTCAGACGTAGACTTGAAGCCACATGTTTGGCCATCTTCCCAGAGTCTCCTCTGCCCACATCTGGCATGAGTCTATGCTAAGTGGATTTCTAGCTCTGCTCAATGGAGTTGAAAATAGTGGAAGAAATATGACTGGGCAGTGAGTTCTACTTGACATAAGGGATGATGATTGGGTGAGTTCACAGTAAATTTTTCTAGCATGTAAGTATAGAGATTCAATAGAGCTCTAAGCTCCCTTGGCCTGGTTTGGAGGGAAAGAAGGGGCCTCCATGACATGACTGGACAAGACAGAGACTGGGACAAGACCCTGGAGATGGAACAGACAGAATCTGCCTGGCCCAAGCAGGGCCTTGAGGATGCAGGAGGCAGCTATTGGTACAGGGTGTGGACATAAAAGGCACTGAATAATAATTTTTTTTTTTTTTTGAGTGAACGAATAAACAAAAAATGTGGCCTTAAAAGCTCCTCTCCTGGTCTGTGAGGTGGCTGGGCTTACCTTTCTTGTCTTTCTTCTCCTCCTCTTCACCACCAGCCCCCAGCAGAGTAAAGATGATGCCAGTCTGAGAGTTCACACCCACAGCAGTCACCACCATTCGTCCTGAGCCCTCCATCACATGTGTCCCTGGGAAGGAGATGAAAGCCAAGTTACCATTGCATGAATCAAAGCCCCCTCCCAAAGGAGTGGAAAGAACATGGTCTCAGTCAGCTCCTGGCTTTGACTACTGAGGTCTTGGAGCACTGCCTGTGGTTAAGGTTCAAATTATTGTGTATAGGGGATCTTTCAAAGATGATTTCACCTTGGGAGAGTGCTGTGATGACCCTGAAGCTCAAACACTGCCATACCTCAGTTCTCAGTCCCCTGAGACAGCTCCAGGCCCACCAGACCTACTACACTGACCTGCAAGATCACTTCCCCTTCTGCCCCCTGTGTCCCCTTCTTTCCCCACCTTACAGGCCACTTTTTCCTTATTGATAGTACCTAGAACCAGACCTCATTCTGCCTCATTCTGTAACCAGCAAAGAAATGTCAATTAAGCCCTAGACAGGACTGCTGAACATGGAGCCCATGCCCCTCTCCTCCAAATCAGTGAAAGTAATTCAAGGGTCTGTGAACTTGGATAAGAAGAAATAGTATCTTTCTTTTATAAAACCTCTAACTGAAATTTAGCACTTGCCCCATTGTCCACATAGGTAACAAACCACAGGAATGTTAGCAGTGTCCAGGGTGCCATTATCATCAGAAACCATGCATTTTTCATATCATCTTACAGCTGTTATAGGTCTTGCTCATCCTCATCCCTATTCTGTAATTAAGGTGGTTATTTATTTGACTGCTAGATCTTGCTAACAAAGAAACACATAATCATTATATCCCATACTTATTATTATTATTATTTATTACTTTATTAACTATTTGTATGATTTTTTTAAAATTTTTAATTGTTATTTGGGTGAAACCTTACAGAGCAAATTCACTTTCCATACAGCAGCTCACATACACTTTGTCTCATGACATTGATTGCAATTTCCCACAATGCAACAGCTCCCCTCCCACTTCCTCCCCATAGTTACCTGTTCCCTGTGTCCTTCCCTCCCATGCACTCTGTATGATTGGTTTTATTTCACACACTTCAAAGCTTTATTTAAAGTAGGGGTCTGTACAAGATGCCAGACTTCCTCAGTGGTCTATAGTGTAAGAAATGTTTAAGAACCCTCTTCCTAATGTGGATACAACTCAAAATAATAAAAAAGACCAGCTTACTGGTCTGATAGAGACTGGTGGAACCCCTGAGACTATGGCCCTTAGATACCCTTTAAGCCTGGAACTTAACTCTCTCCTATGGCTCAACTTTCAGCTAAATGGTACACAGAACTTCAAAGTGAACAGTAACACCAGGGAGGTATAGTCATTAGAACAATCAATCAACCATATGAAATGAAAAAGGCAGTATTTGCCCAGGGATAAATCTCAGAAGGCAGGGACTCACAGGAAAGAAGGATGTATGGAAACGAGAAACACAGGGAAGAAGTTACAAGAGTGCTGTTACATTGTGGGGATTACAATCTATGTCACAAAACAAAATGTGTATGAATTATTGAATGGAAACAAATTTTCTCTGTAAACTTTCACCCAAATCACAGTAAAAAGTAAGTAAATAAATAAAATAACCTTTTCCTTAGAATTTTACATTTTTCAAACTGGGTTTGAAAAGACCCTGAAACTCTTTCCAGGGGCTGTATGGGTAGCCGTATGGGGTCAGGGAGGCCTGTGGTCACAGTGTCCCCACTTTCATTTGCTCTGTGTCAGATTTTGTTTGACAAGAGTTTTTGTTGTTTAGCCTGTTCTATGGCAAACCCCTCCTGCATGCAGATTGGGAAAACTCAGCCCAGAGACTTGTCCAAGTTCATGTGGGGAGTTTGTGGCAGAGTTAAAAGATAAAATGAGTTCACTGAAGCCACAGCCTCATTAGGGAAACAAAAGCAGCCACAGGGAGGGCAGTGGAAACCCAACCCAGGAAGCAGACAGCAGTTCTGAGAGCAGGAGACCCAGCACACTTGGCCTATTATCCTCAGGCTGCAAATGGGTGGCTGGTGCTCGGAGACACACCACGCCTGCATCCCACTCACATCTAGGACCATCTTGCAGTTTTCACCCAGGGGGTCCCTGGGTGGTGCAAGTAGTTAACATGCTTGCCCGCTAACTGAAAGGTTGGCAACAGTTTGGAAGAAAGGCCTGGTGAGCTACTTTTGAAAAATCAGCCATGGAAAACCCTATGGAGCACAGTTCTACTCTGACACACATGGGGTCCCATGAGTTGAGGCTGACTTGCCAGTAATTGTTCTTATCTTTTCCTTTTTAGCTAGCATCTCAGTGATATCCTGTACTAGGAGGAAAGAGAGAATGTGTGTAGCATTTTAACCTCTTGGCCTCCAGGATCTCAGCATCTTAAAGTGCTTTACAGACAAACTCTCTATAATGAGTTCCTTTAAGGCAAGTCATCGTCAGTCTGTCCATCTGTGGATGGGCAAACCAAGTCCTCAAGGCCCATGAGGGTGTGTGTGTGTGTGAAGCCCAGTGAGCTGTCACAAAACCAATACTCTCAGATGGAGATAGTTTCAGCTGGCTCCTTGGCCACTCTCAGAACAGAGTGTCCTTTTGTCCCTAGATAGGTAATGGTGGGGACCAGAGAGTGAGCTCAGACATGGAGTGCAGGCCAAGCTGCCCAGGCCTCGAGTATCCCATCACAGGAAGACACTAGAGCCCACCCACCCCTAAGAGGCACAAACAGGAGAACTAAAGCCCAATAATGGGACCTTGATGATTATAATAACTTGCTTACAAAATGCTTTCTCATGCACCAGGTCTGGTTGTGTGAGGTCTAGGTGAGGGGCTGTTAAACATCAGCATTTGACAGCTAAGAAAATTGAAACCCACAGAGGTCAGAGGGATAGGGCACTGTGTACTCTTTAAAGGAAAAGGATGAACACTCTTCACAGTATTGACAAAGCACAGAAAGAGCTGACTTTAACAGAACACCTACTATGCCAGGCAAGGAGCTAAACTTTTCCTTGCATGGTCCTCAGTCAGTCCTCACACTAACTCTCAGTGTACAGGGGAGGAAGCAGAGGTTCAGAGAGAGGGCAAGCTGCTTGCCAAAGGTCACCCAGATGGTGAGGGGCAGAACCAGGACTTGAATGTTCCCCCATTTGTCTCTTTCCTACACCTCTTTTCTCTACAGGAAACAAGGCCCTAACACCCTGGTTCAAAAGCATTTATTTATTTTTTTTAAATTCACTAGAAAGTGAAGGTGTTCATCCTGGGGCTCTTGAGTGGAAATGGACAGTCTGCTCCCCACCTCCCCAGCTGCAGAAGGGGATGGAAAAAAAGACATAGGGGGCCAATTTCCACCCAAGATAATCAGACCCCCCAAATCACCTTCTAGTCTAATCACTCCCATCACTGTAGGGAGTTGGCAGCTCACAGGTTGGTCTCGGGAGGAGTGTGCCAGGAGGGGCCCTGCCCAGCCTCGGTGAGCCCCAGAGTGCTCGCCTACCTCAGCCTAGACCTCCCAGCATGGCTCTCTCTCCCTCTCTGCACCAGAATGCCCCCAGCCTCTGCTCTGACCACCACAGCATCCAAGCTCAGACTCCCTGATGGCTTGCCTACCTAAGGGTCACACTTCTCAGTCCGGCCCCCTGGCCCTGGCCATATGCCCTCTTTCGGAGTACACCCAGTTCCCTGCACATTTGGGTCCAGCTCCTCTGCCCTTGCTCACACAGGTACCACCACCTGAATGCCCTTTTCTCCATCTCTTGCCCAAAACCTCCTGCTCAGAGCTCAGGACAAATGTCCGTCCTCTAAGGGCTTGTTTCTGACTCCCGCAGGGAACTTCATCTCTCTCTGAATCACCCCACAGTTCCCTGGAACTTTCCTGATGGGCTTCCAGCCCAGGCCTCCCACTAGACAATGAGCTGAGTGCATAAAGGCCCAGGTGCATGTGCAAGTCCCCTCTGCCTCCCAGAGCAGAACCTGGCCTGTAGCTGGAGGTCAGGCACCTTTCCTTTATCTCCCTCCTCTTTTGTGGTTTCCATAGTAGGCATGTATTACATTCACAAAAGAATCCCCACATCTCCAACAAACTATCTTTATGGTTCTACAAAGGGTCAAATTCATCCCGGTTTTGTCCCTCCCTCCCCACACCTCACAGGGCCTCAACCTCTCCTCTACTGGGATCTCAGAAAGCTGGTTACACCTCTTTTTAGAGGAAGAACTGGATAGACCAGGCTATCCCCCTGGCTGCTACCTCCTCAGTCCAGGAGTCCATTACTGAGGCCAACACTTAACACCAACAGATGTTGGTGCTAATGGTGGAACTATAGGCATTCAAATTAAAGGAAAAACCCAGGGCCTTTGGGTAGAGGCAGTGGTGAGAATGCTTTTGGGGTGGAGGCCCTGGTAGGGCTTTGTGCCAGGACCTCACTGTCCAGGGCCCATTGGGAGCCCCTCTGTAGCCTCTTGCCTCCTCTAAGCCTCCATAGGACCCTTCAGAGGATACAAGCATTTTAAGGGGGAAGGGTGGATATAGAAAGCTCTGGGCTGGGGAAGAGAAGACCTGGGAACTAGTCTGGTGTCTGCTTTTGATTTGCTGTGTGCCCTCTCTTCTCTGGACCTGTTTTGTCCTCTGCAAAATGGGGAGGGAGCTGGTTTAAGTCCACCCCCTGTCAAGGATGATGTCTAGAGAATATGGGCCCCAGAGAGATGTGAGCTAACTCCTGGGAAGCTTCCTAAAGGGTTCCACCTTGGGGAGAAGAGGGTTTCGATGGGGCCAGGAAAGGCTTGTATGAACAGACCTGATGTGGGAAGCCTTCCTGCAAGGGCCATACTTGTTCACAGATGGACAGCCAACTCCCCTGTAGTTCCTGCCCTCAAGGAGCTCACAGTCTAGACTGGATGAGGGGGGCAGATGTGAATACAGATAAGCACCAACGCAACACAATGAGGACTCGATGGCTGTGGGGGCACAACCTGCATGAAGGTGGGCATGGGCAACAGGGGCATGATGGCAGCAGATCGGATGAGCTGAGGCTTAGGGTTCACCCAGGGCAGTGAGAGTGAAGAGG